CGAGACAAAGTCAATCGTGAGCGAGGAGGGAGCCTGAAGACACGGGGTACTGGAAATCACTGGCATTAAAAACAGAGGGATACATGGAAGTGGAAGCAGGGGAAGAACGCATGAGCTCGCCTAGAAAGCTGGAGTGGGAGGCGGGAGCACTAGGGGAAGGAGAGCCCCAGAGGGGAAAGCCAGGAGGACCTGGTGTGGCTGTGGCAGCCATGGCGGCGGTGCCAAAGCCAAGCTGCTGCTGCTGCCATGCAGATGCTGCGGCTGCGGCTCCTGCAGCTGCGGCTGCAGCCTGACCACCAGAGCCCCACTGCTGCTGCTGCTGCAGCAGCTGCAGCTGCTGGAAGCGGCGAAACTGCTGCAGCTCCTGGGGAGTTATGGGGTCAGCGACAGAGGAGGAGGAGGAGGAGAGCTGAAGATGAGAGGGGAGGAAAGACGGAAGAGTTTTGACATCCTGGAGAGAGGGGCGGGGATCCATGGCAGACCAGCGTGGGGGTGTGCCAGTGTTGCCGCGCTCGAACCAGGCGTCATCATACGCCTTGAAGCAGGTCGCGGGGGGATGGTTGGTTTGGGTGCAGCGCTCACCCGCCCTGGGACCAAAACGGCGAAGATAGGAACATGGGGGGAGAGTGCCAGGGCGGCCACCACGGCTACCAGATGAGCCACCACTGCCTCCACCACCACCACTGCTGCCACCCTCGACCCCGCCACCACCGCCGCCGGCTCCGCTGCCCCCACAACCGCCACCTCCACCCCCTCCCTGAGGGTTGGTGCGGCCGCCACGTGGGCGCCCGCCACGACGCGGCTGTGTGACTGCAAGCTGGGGGTTTTGGGACTCGGTGGAGTTCAGGCCGGAGGGGGGGTTGAGAGAAGGCGGGCCTCAGCGTCAATGATCCATTGGACCACAGTGTCAAGGGAGGCGCGGGGCTGAGCCTCAGTGAAGGCGATGACGCGCACTTCATATTGAGGGGAGAGGCCTTCGAGGAGACGGTAGATCTGAAGGTTGGGGGGGAGAGTAGTCTGGCGAGCCTCAAGGCGGGAGGCAAGGTCCAGGAGACGGCTGGTGTAGTCAACGGCGCCAGCACTATGTTCGATCGTGATGCTGAAGTATTCCTTGAAGAGCGGTCCGACAGCATCGAAGTCGGTGCGTTCGAACATTGCCTCAAGCTCGAGCCAGATCTGGCGGGAGCCGATGCGACGTGCCTGGAAGTTGCGCATGAGCGCAGACGGGATGGCAAGGAGAAGGGCACCAGTAGCACGGCTGTCCGCCTCGAGCCAGGCGCGACGACGCTCAGCAAATCGCGCAGAGTCAGCGGCATAAGCGGCGGCGGTAGCGGCATGCTGGGTGCGGAGGGTTGCCGACCGCTCGTGTTCCTCCAACGCGATCAGGTAATCAGTATGGAGCACGAGGAACTCACGACGCTGAGTAAGGAAGAGCTGCTCAACTTCAGCGGTGGCAGCGCGAGTGCTGGTGCCAACGGGTACCATGGGGGGCGGAGGTTCCTCGCCGGGATGGGGAATGAGAGGGGGGGGATCGCCAGGGTGAGGCGGCGGGTCCCCAAGGTCACCCTCTGGGAGACCAAGCATGATGTCCAGGAGGCGGAACGGCAGGACATAAGCACTGCCGAGGACGCGGTGGAGGCTGCCGACGAAGGAATACCAGTTGGTTGCTGAGTTGTCGGCAGCGCGCACGAGATGATCGAGGGTCGAGACGTCGACGGGAGGGGGAAAGGATGCCATTGGTGACACGGAGTGGGAGGAAGGCGACGGCGGGTGGACCCGCGGTGGCCGGGAGGGAGCGGCGGCGGGTGGACCCGCGGCGGCTCAAAGAGGAGGGGAGGATGGGGATGGCTGTAGATACTGCTGCTGCTGCTGCTGCTGCTGCTGCTGCTGCTGCTGCTGCTCTGCTGCTGCTGCTGCTGCTGCTGCTCTGCTTCTGCTGCTGCTGCTGCTGCTGCTTGCTGTTGCTGTGCTGCTGCCGCTGCCTGCCCACTGCTGCTACTGCCGCTGCTGCCGCTGTTGCTTGCTGCTGCTGCTCCTTCAGCTGCTGCTGCTGCTGCTGCCTACTTGCTGCTGCTGCTGCTGCTGCTACTGCTGCTGCCTGGCTGCTGCTGAGTCTGCTGCTCCTTCTGGTGCTGCTGCTGCTTCTGCTGCTGCTGCTACGGCTGCAGCAGTGGTAAGGCGGCGATGAGCAGGTGCAGGTGAGGAGGCAAAAAGATGGGGAAAGGATGGCAGTTAGCTGATGAAAATAGGACTTGGTAGAAATTTCAGTAGCACTTCGTGATCACATCCAGGAAAGTGTGCAAACTTCGGAAAGCGATATCTGACAATCCAAGCGATGAAACAGTCCGAAATTTTACGACGTTGTAGCTGACACCAAGAGCGTTCTTTTAAAGTCGAATCACTCAATGCTGTCAACTATCGAGCGAGCTATGGCGTTTGGCGCATTGGGGGTTTTTGAAAATCCACCCAACAGAAAACTAGTTGAGAGGCGGCGGCTAGGAGTCTAGCAGCGGCGATGGAGGGGGACGGCAATGAGGTGCACGTCGAAAGGGGACGGGGCGGAAGCGTGGGGAAGGATCGGGATTTAAAAGTTGGCGTGAGCCATTATTGCTCTATACCATGTTAGAAACAGAAAGGTTCAGTTTATTGATGAAGCAAAGGCATTACAAAGGAAGAGAGAGATGAGCTAGGAAGGGAAGGTTGGAAGGGAAGGGGGGGTTAGGACCAATCACAAGGGAGGGAGGATCCTTCCAAATGTGGTTGACCACCAGTTGGAGGTGGTCCAAGTGTGGTGTACCACCAGTGGTTTAGCCAACCCACTTGTGGTGCCCCCACAATTGTGGTCCTTGTGTTTGGGGGCTCCAACTACAATTGGGTTGGATTGACACCCCAACACAGGTGTACACCCAACTAGGGATGTAAACACAATATATACAACTAGCATAGCATGGTATATTCTAACATACCCCACCTCATGCTTGAGCCCATGGATGTGCAAGGACCTTCTCTCCCTGCTCTCGTTTTTTCTTCACTACATGTGAGGAGAGCTTTATCACGAATGCGACACCTCTATACCCGAGGCAGTGACCCATGCAACCCGAGAGTTTTATGGCTGCCTGCAACCTCATGGGGTGAGGGCTGTCAGAGGAGGAAGTGTTGAAGGACCGCCGCTTTCCTCCCAGGCGGCCAGGCCTATCAATCTTCCAAACCCAGGCTCGGAGGACTTTGAGATGTGGTGCGCACTCTGACTGCTGACAGCAATGAATCGACTGAGCGATGCTGCCAGATTGGCAATGGCAATGGTACTCATAATTGACATGGCATAGACATGGGCACAACTCCGAGCCTAGCCGAGTCGAGCCGAGCAGAGCCAGCTTCAAGCCGGGCTTCAACCGAGCCGAGTCGAGCCGAGCCGGAACGAGCCGCTTCAGCAAAAGCTAGCTTCGAGCCGAAGCCGAGCCGGAAACGAGCCGGCTCAGCTCGGCTCATTTCTGAAGCCTTGAAGGCGGCTGCCGGGGAACTTGCGGGCTGCAGCAGGGCTGCGGCGGTGTTCTAGCTTCGAGAAAACGGAACCCTAAAATGAGGGTCGAACTTTCTGAAAGTCAAAATTGACCCGGGCCTCGAGTCGAGTTTTGAAGCCGAGCCGGAAACAAGCCAGCTTGGCCTCGACTCGAAGTTGGTGAACCCGCTAGCCGAGCCGAGCCGCCGGCTCCGGTTCCGGCTCAATTCGGCCTTGTGCCCATGTTTAGCGTGGCCTATGGATCAAGTCAAATGCATGCTTGCTGCCGTGGTGGAAAGAACACAAGTGGAGTGGCGATCCTGCATGCATGCCAGGTGGATTATCGATAATAGACTTGAGGTGCGTAAGGAACATTGGCAACTCTCCTTAACGCCACTCACAAAGTCTTCAAGCGGGCAAGGCAAGATATCGATGCTGGAATGGAGGCACATGGGGACATGGCACATGGTGAGCGTATGGGGACATGGCACACAAGGCAAGCAGTATTTCCCTGAAGTTGGACACGCACCTCGATTTCGTAGTCTCCAACTCGTGAAACACAGTGGTCTCTACTAGATGTTGGCTGGCAACACCCACCCCTCATTTACAAAAATTTTATGCTCCATACCCCTGACTCTCTTGGCTATGCACAACCTCTGTTTTTCTTGGATTTAGGTAGAGTTCGTGCTCGTTGCGTTTGAAACAATTGGACCACGGGCTTTACGCTATGGTAATGCGGCGAAAAATCCTGGCAGGGGCTGCCCAATCACATCCACCAAAAGTCCCCCAGTTCCCATGCGCAGACCGGCTTGGTCAAAAAGCAGAGTTCACGGATACTTTCTCATTTGCACCTTTCCTGCCACAACATGTTGCCATATACTGCACACCGCCATTAGTTACTTCACAATAAGTGCATGCACAGTGTTCCCTCGCGTACAGCCTAGTGGTGGGTACTTGTCAATCGTCGGATTCTCGTTCAAAAGTCCGCGCAAAACTTCCCCCTGAAACTGGTACCCCCCCCCCCACATAAGTTGAAAATTGAGGCACTCGTTTCGCAATGGCGCATGGCATTTGGCGCATGCAGCATGGAGCATGGAGCATAGGGCATGGCGCATGGAGCATGGAGCATGATGTGTGGCACATGAGGCATGGGTCATGGCACATGGCACATGGTGCATGAAGTATGGAGCATGATGCATGAGGCATGGAGCATGGAGTATGGGCAAGCACATGTGAGAGACCAAGCAAGCATCCCTTCGCTTGTATCACCTATTTCAACACCTAGAGCCACCACGCACTGCGTTCCCTCACATGGCCACCGCACACCACAGCACTCTTCCAGATCTCCACCACAAAGGTACATGGCAGAATACAGAATACAGAAAAACAACAAACAAGAGGGTAAAGAGGCTGTACGCACAGGGAAACAATGAAGCCAGCGGCATCACAGCGCGCGCCATAGACCTCGGCGCAATCCCCCCCTTTGCCCCATCCGGGCACCTGCTGCCCCCACTGCCTCTCACACTCCGCCAACACTGCCACTGCGAAGAACACCAGGGGGGGGAGGGGGAGGAGGAGAAAAGGGAGGGGAGAGGGGGTGGGGGGAGGGGGAGGAAGAAGGGGGGTGGGGAGGGGAAGGTTGAAAAGGGGAGGGGAAGGGGACGGGGAGGGGGATGGGGAAAGGGGACGCGGAAAGGGGACGGGGAGGGGAAAAGGGACGGGGAGAGGTAAAGGGGACGGGCAGGGGACGGGGAAAGGGGATGGGGAAGGGGGAAGGGGATGGGCAGGAGGATGGGAAGTGGGACAAGGTGTCGAAAGGAAGGAGATCCTGGGTAGAGAGGGGGAGGCAGGCATCCAGGACGAGGCGGAAGGAACCAGTGGCAGCGCGCAGGGAGGGGAGGGGAGACGAGGCCCGGGGGAGGAGCGGGGGTGGATGGAGGGAGTCGGAATGGGGAGGAACACGGGGAAGATCATGGGCGGGGGACGGAAACGAGGGGAGGGAAACGAGGGGAGGGAAACGAGGGGAGGGAAACTAGGGGAGGGAAATGAGGGGAGTTAGACGAGGGGAGGGAAACGAGGGGAGGGAGACGAGCGGGGGGAGACGAGGGGGGGGAAGACGAGTGGAGGGAAACGAGGGGAGGGAGACGAGGGGAGGGAGACGATGGGGGGGAGACAACAGGGGGGAGACGAGGGGAGGGAGATGAAGGGAGGGAGACGAGGGGAGGGAGGCGAGGGGAGGGAAACGAGGGGAGTGAGACAAGGGGAGGAAGACGAGGGGAGGAAGACGAGGGGAGGTAGACGAGGGGGGAGAGACAAGTGGGGGGAGGTGAGGGAGGGCAGACAAGGGGAAGAAGACGAGGGGAGGGAAACGAGGGGGGAGAGACGAGTGGGGGGGGCGAGGGGAGGGAGATGAGGGGAGGGAGACGAGGGGAGGGAGACGAGGGGAGGGAGATGAGGGGAGGGAGACAAGGGGAGGGAGGCGAGGGAAAAGATGCGCATCCAGCTGGTCTAATCAGTATTGGGAGAGCGGGGCATGAGCGACTAGAGCACGGCCATGCCACCCTCCGCCCCGCCGCTACTTCTAGAGGAAACGCAAACCCTAGAACAGCCCTAGGTTTTCTCTTCCAGCACGGCACAGGCATTTCCAGGATGGCGTCTGTGCGAGGCCCCTGGACAGGGGCGCGACCCCAGATGTCCATGTGCAGAGTCTGTAGGGAAGCAATAGTCGGAGGAAACGAGGAGTGAGGGGCGGCTCGCTGCCGGCCCTCGACGCAAGAGGTGTACGCGGGTGCTAGGGAGGCGGGGAGGGCAGGGAGCGACATGGGGAGACTAGCAACTAGACCGTGGTGCGCCATGTGACGTAGATGCGGGAGCGCAGGGTGACCTGAGCAGTGGTGCCACAGGAGTGCCGAGTGGGTGAGGGAGTGTCAGGAGCAAGGCGCGGCAGCCTGGGTGGACGCGGCTACTTCAGGGGGACTTTGTGTGCAATGTGAAGAGACCGTACATAGGGTTGCAGTTAGACATGAGCAAATCAAATCGCATCGCATCGCATTTAATCGCGTTTTTGCGATGGCGATGTTTTTTTCTTTTAATTCATCGCGCGATGCGATGATTTATTTAATCGCGCGATCAAATTTATATCGCGTAGGAAATCGCAATTTTAACGCGATATGCGTTTAAACTTAAATTGCGCGCGATGTCGAAATGCATCGCAGCGCGAAATTTCGCCAGCATATGGGGAAAAATCGCAAAGCCCCAAAACGCATTTATGCAAATCTCCTTTGCAGAATCCGTTTGGGAATACGTTTTAGGGCTTTGCACACGCACTCCTAAACCCACTGTTCTTCACAACTTTTGGTGGTTGGAATTAGTAGACAGAGTTGACTGCGCGCTGCATGGCCTTTTAGAGTCGAGCCACGCCATTCGCGCACGCATTTGGCGCTTTGGTGGCGTCGTAAGGGTTTTTACCGTGCGCCAGCTAGATTTTAGCCTCGACGCACGGGCATTGCCGTTTATTGCATTGCGTAGCTTATTTAACCGCAAGCTGCAGGGTTTATCGTTCGTCGCGCCTAGAAGCGGCCGCATTAGGGTTTAGGGTTCTAGTTGAGGAGCCGCTTTAAGGTTTCGTGATGGGCAAGCGGGGTGGAGGAGGTGTGGGGCGTGGGGGCGGTAGGAGTGGTGGTGGGGCGGGTCGCGGCGGTGAGGACGAATCGGATGCTCAGACTGGAGCGCACGCATTGACGGGCAAGGAAGCGCGCGCGCAGCGCAGGATGATGACGGAGGCGGCATTCGCGAAGCTCCAGGGGATTAAGGCGGGTACCTCGCAAGGGGTCGAAGGTGACGGGAACATGGGAGGAGCTCCCGGCAACGGCGGGCTTAGGACGCAGGGGAGTGGCGCGGCAGACGCTACGGAGCCCGCCCTTGCGGGCAAGGTGGCCATTAGGGACGAGGCGGAGGACGGGGATGCTTGGCGGATCCGAGCATCGGCGGAGGGGGTGCGGACTGACTATGAGGAGGGGGATGAGGAGGAGGAGGGTGAGGACGACGGCGTGGTGGCAGAGGAGGAGGGGGATGGGGAGGAGGATGGGGGAGCTGGCAGCGAGGAGAAGGGGAAGCACAAGGTGGATGACGGGCCTTCTCCCTCGGTCGGTTCTTCGGGGAAGAAGGCACGTACACCTGCAGAGGGGGATTGGGGGGTGGGGGGGGCGCCTAGGGGCTATCCCCGGGGCCGGCTCAGGGGCCAGAGCAGGGGGCGGAAGGGACCCCTGCGCGAGGATGTCGGCAGGCCTGGCATGTCACCCGGATACCTCCACGAGGCGTGGGGGAGTGGAGGGGGAGGGGGGAGGGGGCGGGGTGTGGCCCGGGCTCCCATGGATGTCGGCAGAGGTGGGGGGGCGGGCAGGGGGTGGCCGGGGTGAGGGTCATGGGGCGACTGACCAGGGTCATGTGGGCTCCTCCATGGAGGTGGAGAAGGAACCGCGACTGTGTGTGGCGGCTTGTTACAACAAGGAGGAGGCGGCGCCGGGTTGGAGGAGGTGTAGGATGTGCAACTTCCTAGTGAGCTTCGCGGGCCGCACCACATCGAATGGGCGGTCCCCCATGGTTGGTTACCACAGGGCTCACTGGGACATGTGGAGGCGGCTAAGGCGGGAGGGGGAAATGAAGGTCGGGGACCTGCTACCAAAGGGGGGATTCAGGGACGGTGAGGTCCCCGACGGTGGCAGTACCTGGTGGGGGTTGGCCTACTGGCCCAAGTTGGAGGACGCGGAGGATGACGGGCCTCCTGTTGGCCGGGCGGGGGGGCGCGGGATTCTGCGCTACATGCAGAAACCCCTAAACCTGCCGCGCTGGGAGCAGCTGCTCGTCGAGTACATTGTCGACACCGACTCTGCGTTTAGCACAGTCGAGCGAGACAGTGTGAGTGCCTGCCACCCTCCCCATGGCATGTTTTTGTCTCATATTTTCCTGTTTAGTACATCGTAGCACTCACAATGCGCATTACGTTCTGGGGGCTCGCTAGAAGCACTCATCATGGTCTCACCTCTTTGCTCCACCCTACCGCGCCCTCCATCAGTTCCGCCGCCTCATGGGTGAGGCCAACCCCGGCTTGCTCAGCTGGGAGTCATTCCTTCGCGGCACAAGCTGGCCCATCTCATCGTGCGACAGGCGGCGCAGTGCAAGGTGTTGGCTAAGGCCGAGTTGGCGGCTGCCGAGTTGGCGGCTGACAAGGGGGTGGGTGCGATCTCCTATACGACGGACATTTGGTTGGCGGAGAACGACATCGGTTTCATGGGCATCACAGCGCATTACATCGACGCACAGTGGAACCTGAAGCAGGCGACCTCCGGCACCCCACCTATAGCCTCATGCACTGCGAGGTTGTTGACATGGGCGAGGCACCTACACCAAGCACAAGGGTTTGGAGGTTAGAACAACGCCTTGTCGAAGGGTTAGGGCAACGACGCGCTGCATGGTGAACAAACATAGGAAGCGAGAAATGGCAACATGACATACCGGACGTGGGCAGCCTCGCCAAACAAGGGGGTCGTGCGCTTCTTCCCATCTCCCTGATCCCCTGCCTTGAGAAGATTGAATGCCGCCCCGTTCACAGACGCGTTGTCAGTCGTGAGCACCATTCACCGCTTGGCAAGCCCCCAATCCTCGATCACCTCCTCCAGGATGTCAGTGACCATCCTCGCTGTGTGGCAAACCTCGCGCCCAACCTTGCGTCGCGCATTGGATTCTCGGTGAACAAGACGGTGGCCTTCGAGAAGGAGCAGCGTCACAAGTTCCCTGGGAAGCAGCCCTTGAAGTTGAAGCAGGACAATCCGGTGTGCTGGGGCTCCACCCACGCCATGCTGCGGCGAGCAATCGAGCTCAAAGGCCCAACCAGGGCCTTTGTGGCTAGGGAGGTATGTGATGTTACTTCGGTTCCAAGCTGGAAGCACCTCTAATTCGCTGTCTCTTGGTTACCACCAACCCGCTGCCACCTACTTACCTCCATCGCACAGCCGTGTCCCCCCCGCCACACTCCAAGCCCCTTTCAGAAAGATTGACCCCCCGTCCCCCCTCCCTTCCCCCCTCCCCTCTCCTCCCCCTCCCCCACACCCTTGTTCGCTCGAATCCAGGGGTGTAACAAGAAGGAGCAGGCCGACCTGGACAAGAAGGCAGTTACAAACGATGAGTGGGCAATCCTGCATGAGTTGATGGCATTCCTGGCGCCATTCAACAACATGAATCTGGCGGCGGAGGGGTCGGTGTACCCCACGGTGGCGCGTGTGGTGCCACAATACAATGGGGTACTGGACTGGCTGGAGCGCAAGCTGGCAGCGGCGAAGCCGGGGTCGGTGATGGCGCGGTGCATGTCCCAGGCGTTCGAGAAAATGCTCAGCTACTTTTATTCCAGCACCGATGACCTCAACGTTGCCACATTCTTGGACCCGGCACTGAAGCGAATGTGGTTTGAGCGGCCGATGGTGGAAGGCAGCACCAGGGTGGTGGAGGAGTTGGATGCCAGCGAGGTGGAGGAGTTGGTGCGCGATAGGTGGGAGACGTACAAGAAAAAGGTGGATGAGGAGGTGGCTGAGAAGAGGGGGGCAGCAGCGGGATGGGAGTGGATGGGAGGGAGTCTGAGGATGAGGATGATGAGGACTTGGGTGTGTTTACTCACCTCGCAACAGTGTGGGCCGCACAGATCTCATCGGTGCAGGATGAGATCCAGCATTACTTGTCACTCCCCTTGGCGGAACTGCACGACTGCCCTTTGCAGTTCTGGAAGGTCCACCCGGAGCTTCCAGCGCTGCAGCACATGGCTCAGGATTACCTCGCCATCCTGGCCACCTCTGCCCCCTGCGAGCGCCTGTTCTCACAGGGCCGCAACCTCATCCACTGGCAGCGCTACCGCTTGGGTGCGCGGGCCCTTATACCACGGGGCTCGCATTTGTGTGAAACCCACTCTGAACCGTATGATTTATCATGAAACGCCCGCACACCATCCCGTGTTCCAAATTTCAGAAGTTGCCATTTTTTTCAACGTTTTTCGAGCTGTTTAAAAAAACGCCATAAACGCGATGCGATTTAATATCGCATCACGCGATTTATCAAAACACCGCGTGCGGCTTTTTAATACATCGCGGTCAAGATGCGATGTGCGATTTAATTTTCCCAGAAAATTAAATCCCGCGATGCGATTTTAAATCGCATCGCTCTTTTTTACATCGCACCTACATGCGATGCAATTTAAATCGCAATCGCACTTTTATCATGTCTAGTTGCAGTCAAAGGTGGCTTGGCGGGCGGCCATGGCGGCGTCCGTGCATGGTGCATACATCTTACGACCAGGGAACGTGGTGGAGACACCGAGGTCCTAGATATGGCCGACACCAACCAAGTTCCTGGAAAACGTGGGGATACTAAGCCGGTGAGGGAGCCAAACGTAACAGCCGGACAACAAAGAGTGGTGGTACTGCGAGCAACTACTGTAGCAGACGAGTTAGCTAGGGAGACTGGTACTGGTGCAGAAAGCGGTGTGAGTGCAGTGCGGTCTTGGAAGAAGTAGTGGGATGCACCGGAGTCCAGTGTAAAGGAGAGGGCCGCCGTAGTAGGGGCAGGAGGGGAGCCTAGTCGACATGTAGCAGAGGCTCCTGGATTACACACAGTAGAGGGACCTAGACCCCAAGGGCCCCAGGCGCCCAGGCCTACAGAGAAACCCCGCGGGCCCCAGGGTAGTGACTGCCCCGGGGCCCAACCTGCAGGGCCTCCACTGTGCCCAACACCCCCACGAATCCTCTGCGGCAGCTACCACTGCTGCTGATGCTGCTGCTGCTGCTGCTGCTGCTGCTGCTGCTATTGCTGTGGCGGCTGCTGCGGCTGCTGCAGGCAGCCTTGTAGCGTACTTCGAGGGCATGGAGGTGTGTAATGAGCTCACCAGTAATGTGGGCCTCCAGGAGCTCGCAGTCCACCTGCTGGCTCACCAGCTGCCGGCGGAGGGCGAGAAGCCAGAGAGCAAAGTTGACTGCCCTTCTTTCGGCGTCCAGTCGAGGGACATACCCGGACGAGGTCGTCATGTTGATAGGGAAGGCGGCGAGGAACTCCAGAAACGAGGAGGAGACTAGTGGGAGGAGCTAGGGGCTGCCGGAGCACGAACGGTGGTAGCGGTAGCAGTGGCTGTGGCCGAAGCGGCAGTCAGGCAGCTGGGGAGTACCTGAAAGGCGGTTGCATGGCATCTGGCGGCGAAAAGGTACAAGGCCGCAGGCGGCCAGTGGCAGGCAGGCAGTAGGAGCTGGTGGCAGCAGCAAGCGACAGGCGGGAGCAGGGAGCGGCAGGTCTGCGGCAGTGGCAGGCAAGCAGCAGGCGGCAGGGGCAGCGGCTGCTAAATGGTGGCGACGGCTGTAGCGGCAGCGGCGGCCGAAGCGGCGACGGCGGCAGCAGGAGCAGCGGCGGTGGCTGTAGGAGCTACGGCGGTAGCGGCTGTAACTGCTGGAGTTTCGGCGACTGATGTAGTAGGCAGCAGCGGGCAGCAGCAGGCGGCAGCGGGCGGCAGCATGCGGAAGCGGCTAGTGGCCGGCGACCGGCGGTTGGCCAGCAATTGGTTGCAGGCCAGTGGCTGGTGGGCGGCTGGTAGGGAGCGGGGAGCTGGCTGGCGGCTGATAGCTGGCTGCTGGCTAGTGGCTGGCGGTTGGCGGCTGGCAGCTGGCTAGTGAAAGGCGGCTGGTGATGGGCTGGCTGCTGGCCGCCGGCTGGCTGGCAGTTGGCTGCAGGCTGGCGGATAGCTGGCTGGCGGCGGCCGGCTGGCGGCTGGCTGGTTGCTGGCTGGAGACTGGCTGGCAGCGGGCAGCTGGTTGGCAGTTGGTTGGCCGCTGACGTCTAGCTCGCTGGCGGCTAGCTGGCGGCTGGCAAGCATCTGGCTGGCAGCGGGCGGCTGGCTGGCAGCTGGCTGGTGGCTCGTTGGCAGGGTTCTAGCTGGCAGCTGGCTGGTGGCTAGCTGGCTCGCGCCTGGCGAGCGGCGGCTAGCTGGCTAGCTGGCTGGCGGCGGCTGGCTGGCTGGCGGCGGTGGCTGGATGGCTGGCGGCTGGCTGGCTGGCTAGCTGGCTGGCAGGAGCGGCTGGCTGGCTGGCGACGGCTGGCAGCTCGCGAGCTGGCTGGCGAGTTGGCTGGTGGTTTGCTAGCTGCCAGCGGCTGCTGGCGCTTGCCAGGGCGCTGCTGGTGGTGAGCGGCTAGTGAGTTGCTGGCGGCGGTGAGCGAGCTGCTGGCGGCGGCGAGCTGGCATCGGCTGGCTGGTGGCGGGCAGAGGCGAGCAACAGGCTGGCTGGCGGCAAAATGCGGGCAGCGCTAAGGCAGGGCTGTAGCGTAGGGCGAGAGCTCAGGCTAGGGCACAGGCTAGAGCAACAGCCTAAAGCCTAACAAAAAACCAAGGATGTAAGCTAGGGTGGGATGGGAGTGGAGCATGCCTAAGGCGGAAGCGTTACGGCTAGGAGCGCCTAGCTCTATACCATGTCGAGAGAATGGCTGAGTAGAGAGAAGAGACACAAGGGCATATCTAGGAGTTGTACCCTATATATAGCCTGAAACCTTGCCAGACTACACTGTTTATATATAATGCTAGCAAAGATATATATATGAATGCTAGCAGTGTGTGTGTTCTCTATATGAGATAACTTTCTACCTAGACAGAGATAGAATCAGAAATGCACCGATATATTCTTCAAACAACCTTCAACACTCCCCTTCATTCTTGAGTGTATTCTTTTGAATAGATATTGCCTCACTTGATGATTCCGACGAGGTTGGCATAGTACTGGAACTTGGAGCGTGGCCGTTTCTTAGTTAAGAAATCAGCTGCCATTTCTTCCGTTGGGCAGTATTTCAGGAGCACTTTGCCTTGGTCGATTTTGTCTTGATGACGAAGTAATGGAGGGTGACGTGATTTGTTCGGTTAGCAGAGCCAGGTTTGTATGTAATTTGATGCGCTCTGGTTGTCGCATAGAAACTTGAAGCTGGAAATTGTCGCAATTTTCGCCTCTTGCAAACTGAGCTAGCAATAACAAATTCTGCTTTGGCTGAGGAAAATGCGATGATCTCTTACTTCGTGGAGTTCCAGGAAATTGCACCTCCGAGTTGAAACGAGAATTGAACCCTGTCCTTGAACGTTGGTTGTCAACTTCAGCTGCATAGTCATTATCGACGTGTCCAGCCTGCGTGAGGGAGGCGCAGGTTTTGTCGAGTAGCTGAGTCCAACTGTTGGAGTCAAAATGAAAAACTAGAGAGCTAGACGAAGTTTGGTCATAATCCCCTCTTCAAATCACCGTAGGCGTGGTTACTTTGCAAGCTGGCTGGCAAAGTAGGCGAGATCCGTGCAACAGGTAACTGCTGCAAATAGGAGACACCCATGCTGCTGCTGGTAAATCTCATGTTCCGCTGCTGTTAAGGGGGTAGTGTTAGGCTCGTACCCAAGAGGGCGGTGGCGAAAGGCGGTCATCACTCTGACTTGGGCGATGCCGAATGTCTCTGCATACTTGCTGGCGGTGAGGTAGATCGAGTCTGGGTCGAGAGTGATATCGGGTTAAATCCCTTCATTTTGTAGGCTGGGTTATGCCGTGTCCTATTGTACATATCTCACTTATATAAATTTTGTTTGTAACCAACATTTTTTTTTATGAGGACTCATTCTCTTCATAATGGGGATGTCTTAGCTGAGCAGCGCTTCAACGCTTGGAGGCTGTTCGTTGGCCAATTTTACAAGGGAAATTATACGCTGGGTAACGCTTACTCTTCAGTTTCCCGATTTAGTCACTCTTATCTCATCTCAGTCAATGCTTTATCGAGTCGAAATCAGTAGCGTCGAACTTTTTGTTCAGTTTGTTGCTGCGTGGTAAAATCTTTCGGCACGTGTCCCAGAAATGCCATTTCTCAAAACATCGAGAGATAAATACGTAACGTCCAATTTTTTAAGAGAAAACTTCATAGATAGTAGAGGATTCTGTCCCGGTTTACATTCGCGCACAGCTCGGCGATGCGTTATTGAGATACTGGCATATCGATTAGGGCAGCCTGAAACAAGATAAAACCCGCAGCGGCCCGATACTCGACTTGGGGTGGCATCAACCCTAAAGACGCACAAAGCCGTGAGTTTAGGATTTATGCCACCGCGAGTCGCATG